TGCTGTGCTGTGCTGTGCTGTGCTGCGCTGCGCTGTGCTGTGCTGTCCTGCGCTATGCGGTCCTGTGCTGCGCTGCGCTGCGTGTGCACAAAGGGTCTCGAAATTGAAAACAAAAATATACAACATGGTGCACAAAAACTGTCATTGTTAAAACCGGAAACTAATCATTCTTTTATTTTCTTACTGTAAAATTCCTAAAAACGTTTTTGCAGTTTTTCATCCCAAAATTTCATATTCAGCCTTATTAACTGTTTGGTTATGGTCCTTGATAAAGGGAGCTGTTAACGGCATTCGTTGTGCCAATCATAACATGAGCTTTCACATTTCCTAAAATCAAAATTCTAGTTTCTAGACCAATCCGAGGGCAAGCTGAAATTTAGGCATGGCTTTGATCATTGGTTTTCATGTATTATTCTTTTCAGTGCAAGTGTCCAGTGTCTGCGCATAACAAGCGAAGCCAGTCCTCAGGCCCTGACAGATATGATAACTCGCGTATTTTGGATCGCCGTGTCATTATTCGAGTCTGACTTCGACCATGAATACCTTATGGCAGTTGAGCTGCTTAATCAGGTATGTGGGTATTTTTCTTTTCATTTTAAGGTCATTTGATTTTGTTTTACTTTTCGCCTTTCCAGCAAGTTGACGGTGCTCCCTTACACTATCTCCACCGATCAGTGTCCAGTTCCAATGGTAGTTGGAGCTAAAGCTACGCGCACTAGAGAGACGTTCAACAAGTCTCCAGGGAGCCGACGGTGCTTACTCCCTCTCTCTCACCGATCAGTATCTGGTTCTAAGGGTATTCAAAGCTAAAGCTACACGCACAGGAGAGACGTTAAACAAGTCGCACGGGAAAGATCATGAGTGCAAGCCCTTTACCTTTATTACAGCGCACTTATTAAGCCAGGTCTCTTTTCATCAGGTGATGACGTTCCTGAACCTAGGAAGACCCGAATCAAGAGACCGACTGGAAAAAGTACTACAAAAGCTGAACTGGACAGACTTTCCAGGCTTACAATCCTTAGTACTCAAGGTGAGATTATCTCTATCCATTGTTGAAACGCTACCCTGGAGTCCAGAGATTCGATTTATTGTCGCTCTGGTGTTTGCTGTGTTCAAGGGAAGTCCGCGCTCGCTCGTTAGAACCACAGGAAGCGAAATAGGACCTCAGGATGTTGAAATACCCAGGGTATTGAAATGGTTTCAGCTATCTGGAAATTTTATATATTGCGCTCTTTTTTCTCAGGGTCTTACCAGCTCTGGGACTAGTGATGCTTCGATGCGTCTTCTGGCAAGACTTACTGAGTTCACTAACATTGCTATTGTCGACCCGTCACAAGTCTCTGGTATGTTACTTCAAACTTGTAACTGAAAATTTTCACTTTAAAACAAGATCAAATTTAGAGACTGGTTCCACGAATGAGTCGTATTTGAATTACCCAGCAACCTAGGCGCGCAGCGTATTGTTTTTCAAGACGACCTTCCACACTAGTTAATTTGTTTACTGATGACCTCCTCTCTGAAGCCCCATCCTCCCCACTCCCCCCCCCAAAGTTCTCTCCCTTATCTCGGCTATTGTTTACTGTGGCGTATTTTTTAAGGTTTTGGCTTGAACATCCTGGCTCTTCTCCCATACATGACTGATCACTTCGATGAACCCGATGAGTTCTGTAAAACATRCGCATCCAACATTGTACAGGTTAGTTACAATTTTGTTCAAATTTTATTTTACTATATTTTATCTAGAGTGCGGGCTCGCTGTGGTACTGTAAGGAGGGATGGCGCGGAGACGACAGTATATTTAACAATTAGACTCAAACCCTGAATGGTCTGCGAGTCCTTCTGCCGAATAGGGTATTCACTCAGACCATGAAGGCGAGAGGTCTAATTGTTGGTATAAGTTGGTCCAAAAATGGATACAAATAATTTTGAAATTAGGTTGAAATAATTTATTTTTCGTGTTGTTTTGGTTTTATAAAAGCAAAATAATAGTTTTCTATCACTAATAGACCGCTAGTAAATCAGCCAATCATAGCGCAGGAATCACGAAAGACCATCATAAGGTTTATATTAATATAATTTAGCCCGTTGAAACATAATTGTATATATTTTTCTATCCTTAGGTGTGTCGTCGAACAAGCGGTCTAACCAATCTCGGTAAGATGTTCATTATGTACGCAGACAAGTCCTATCCTCGTCCAAGAAGCACATGGGTAGAGGTGGYCTGTAAATACGTCCATGACTCGTTTGGTCGCTACAGCAAGTCCTATATTACGTTCTTATTAGAGGTAAAGATCTCTATATGACAATATAAAAAATAACTGTTATGGATATCACGTTCTAATTGGATGGGAGCGCGTGCTTTATGAGAGCATATAGCACGCGCGCGCACTTTCTATTTGTTATTCGTATCCAAAATAAAAGTTATTTTGATTTGTATTTTATAAAAGAAATAAAAAAACTTGCTTGCTGTGCTGTGCGGAGTTATAAAGTACTTGGGGATTGGCAGAACACTCGAGAAGTATCGAGAAGATTTCCGCTACGAGTTCTGCTTCTCCTAACACTTCTCTCGTGTTCTGCCAATCCCCGCGTGCTTTATAACTRCACACAGCACGCGCGCGCGTTTTCTATTTCTTCAGCATTGACGGAAGATAATCATTTGTTGTCTACAGGTTTTAGAGTATGGTCCTCAGTCCTCACAACAATCTGTTCTGGCTATCCTGTGTTCTTTGATCAAGCTGACTGACTTCTCATCCATCACCATGAAACAGTTCCATAACAATGTCTTAAAGGTTATTTCAAAGTACCTTAAGGTATGTATAAGAAGATTTTTTGTAATGTCCTGAACACCATCGGGCCCAAATTGCTTAGACCTTGATCATACGGTGCGTAAACCTCGTCTATTTGATTTCTTTTAAGGGTAACTACTGGAGGGAATCCCTAGAGATCCTCAAGCTTGCTGTTTCAAACTGTTCCAACCTTGACACCCCTCCTCCACGCCCAGCAAGCACAGTCTGGTCTACCAGTGATACCTGGGCTATTGATGCTATACCGGTCAAGAAAGAACTTCCTGGGCGTACGCTGGAGTTTACCTATGACTTGTCGTCCATCCCAGTCAGTGGGAAAAGGAACAACCTAGAAACCCCTGACCAGGTCAAGGACTCTAAGATCGTTCCTGATCTTCCCGCGCCCAGAAAACCTAATACGTCTCAGGTATGTTTTACCTTTATGGGATATCCATGGCCCAACGCGATTGGCGGACTACATATAGGGCTTTTAAGTGTGACTTCAATCGTATGGGAAAAGTGGACTCGGAAATACGTCACAACTTAACAGCTCTATAAGAAAGATGGGAGTTGTTTGCGCAACCCTTAAGAGCATACCTTACACTAGTATAGCTTTTGACCGAAACGTAAAGAAATGCAGAATCTTAAGAAATTTAAAAAACCTTTGCTCTCATCACTAATACTACCTCCCCCCCCCACCCACTCCTCCTGATAAATCGAGGGCTGTCAGTGCCTAATTGACGTCATATATTGTAGAATGTTTCTTTGGTGCTGGTGATGATAACTGTGGTTTATTTTCAGCGTCGCACGCGGGAACGCCTCGTACACGTACTACAAACATGTGGTCACAATGTGGGCTTAAAGCAAAGTCCTTCAGTGGTGTTCAGCTCGTCCAGTGACTTGGCTGTGGAAAAACCAACCGAACAGCATTCGTCTAATGAGGACATAAATAACGAAGCTTGTAAAGATGATCAGGTATTCTAGTCCTGCTGTGGGGTGAGAAGTAATCATACGCCCTTTAATTGGCTCAAACGAGGTCGTTTTGACCTCAATTCCCTACCGTGACTGTGTCTTGTACCTTATCGTGCCTTGCCGTGCCGTGCCGGTTTACAGTTATACGAAAAAACTATCATTTCGATTCCTGATTACAAATACCCCCCCACGGATTTCGTGTTCCCTTACTTGAGGGTGAAGTGGTATTCTTAAACAAAGCGATAGGGTCTTTCACTAATGCCCTTACGGTTTATTGTTTCAGATAATGGGCGTGTTGACGAAGTTCGACTTCCTGGATGACGTGTCGCTAGAGAGTAACGATGAAAGTGGTTTCGTTGTTTGGCCTGTCGATGAATCTCACCGCGCGTCCTACGAAAACCTCGACGTACAGTCACTAGAGAAGAACACCCTACAGAGGAACTCGTTTTCTGGTAGCGATTTGGACTTGACAACACCGCATGAATCGTCTGATGAGGAGGACGAGGTGAATAGAGAATTTATTCATATTTAACCAAGGGGTTAGAACGTTAAAGTGTAGCGTTGCCGCCATGGTGGTTGAATTTAACAAAGATATTGCTTGATTTGGATTGTCCCGATAAATAGATATTATCCCAATTTAGTAGACAAAAAAATTCTTCTGTTTTCATTAAAATAGTAGTAGGCATTACTATAACGTTTAGTTTTATGGTTAAAAGGAATCACTCTGACATCCATCATGGCAGCCATGTCCCAGGAATGACTGCAAACTATCAATACTTATTTCGTTATTTAACAGCTCAACAGAGGCCCGGACACACGATGCGACGTTGCCTGCAACGCGAAATCGCATCGTGTGTCCACCCATGCGACTGTCGTGCAAACGACCTCGTTGCAAGTGATGTCTGCGTCGCATAGTGTGCCCAGGTTTTAAGGACGTTCATGGGCAAAAGATCCCATCGTCAGATTTTTTTGATTTTTCCTCTAAAGTAAGGTATTACCGAGTACTTTCAAAAAACGAAATAAAAAAGAGGGGCCCGACTTCGTTTTAGAGCTATAAGAGATGATAGACGTTTTTATGAGATTTTGCTTATCAAAACATTGGAATGACATCATCACGATGAGCGCGCGCCAACAATGCCCATGAACGTCCTTAACAGTCCTTTTTAATGTTACAGCTAAATCAATCGATGAACGATGGGTCCGTAAGCACAACTTGTGCTGCAACAGAGTTTGAATCAGCTGCCGAGTCTGCCGCTGAGTCGGTAGGTGAGGTGGAGGCCGAGACATCAGGGGATCACGAGGTGGTGATCGTAGTGTCTTCACATGATAGTGGACAGTCAGACGAACGACATGGCAGCACAAGGTCAGTAATACTTTCCTGTTTTATATCTGTGTGATACATCTATTAAACAGATCCCTTATTCAGCGGACACACTTTATTAAACGGATAGCTGCCGGATCACGAAATTTTCTTTCCATATATTTACATAACATGAACCTCTGCTGACACCTGTGTCCAGCGGGCGCCAGGCAAGGTCCCAAAGGTGCCAGCTTAATACTGGTACCCTTGTCCAAAACCTTCACAAAACACCATTTTTGATTTGATTTTTGTTTCTTTACTGGTTAGTAATCGTTGTTAGCCCAGTCCAGTAGTGGARCAGCCAATCAGAATACGCGATTTATACGCAGTCTAACTGATGAGCTTTCAGTCGTACTTGTTCCTCAATCTCGTACCTAGAGCTTGCGTTTCTTCTGGCCTGCGGCGAAGAAAGAGGGCTCTGGCATAATCCACTTTTTGAGACCAGGATTTTTTGGACTTCCGGTATAAGAGCGCATACGTTAAAAAACTTGCCAAAAATAAAAAATATGTTCCCGATTTCTAATTTTTATTTTGATCGGAAATAAACACAGAACTCTGTTTGAAGGCATGATTTTCATTGATTATATTTCACTTCCGGAAAACTGCGCATGCGTCAATAAATGGATTATGCCAGAGCTCTCGTTTTTCGTCGCAGGCCAGAAGAAACGCAGGCTCTGGGTACGAGATTGACTTCCCGTGTTCTAAAGTGGTTTCATTCTGTGATCAGAATTTATTTAAAGCTTTTTTATAATCGTACTTTTGGATTAATTTTAGCACGGAATCTGCTGTTGGTACCTCGCCTTCCGGAAAAGGAGAATACCAAATCTACGCCCTTACTGGAGGAATAACGGACGCAGATGATAGTATTGAAACGATCTGGTGTGAACACGTGACCACTATCGTCAAGGATACCACGGGTGTTACCGCTGTACATACGTACTCGCTCTTTTGGTCGTTATACAAGACGGCCAGGCGGAAATTCTATTCTTTGACAAGAGAGTGTTGTAACTACCTGGATGACAAGTTCAAGGAGGTTTCTCAACACTTTTGTAATACTCTGGAGTTCTTGGTGGCTCGTGGGGACTGTCCTTACGTTTGTTTGGACACGGAGACTCTGAAAAAGACCCGCTTATTTGAAAAGCAGAAATTCATGACACTTGAACTCCACGATCATTACGTGAACTACAGCGCAAAGATTCAAAAAGCCGCGCAGTGTTTGGACTGCGTGAAGCTAGCCATCAAGAGATCATCCGTGGGGTCACACAACGAGGAGCCTGATACCGTGACACTAGACAAAATGTCACACGAACAGCGACAACTAGAGCTGTGCAGATGTCTATACCAGATGCATTTTCAGTTTCTATTGCTTTGTAGTACGTACAGCAGACTTTTGGAATCTCTGGATAAGAGTGCGCAGCTTGCAAAGGTAAAGTAACTTTTAGAATGAATAGTGACGCAATCGGACCAAAACACAAGGATTCGAAATTTTTGTTGCGCTAAAACAAGGATTTCTTCAGCAAAAAAGTCACACTTGCTATCGTATTTTTAGCTTCGCTAGTCAAACCAGACTCAAGAACGGGACTCATACTGAAATAATTTTCGTTGAATCTATGTCCCCCAGAACAAGTTCTCTAGCAAATCAATGCAAGGGTTCTATAATAATGGCTGATTAATAGGTAGCGCTCTCAGATCACTGGRGTATAACTTGTTTCTGTCTCGTGYTTCAGGTAACCGACCACACCCACAGAGCGAGCTCAATTCGCACGGAAATCGTCTCAGTTCTAGAACACCTTCCACAGGCCAGTGAAGACCACAGCACCCTTACACAGGAACTAGAGGCATTGACGCAAGACACAGCCTTACAGATGTTAATCGATTCACTCGTTGCTAAAAATATCGAGGGTGCAGTGTACCTACTGAGAACCTTAAGGGAAAAATTTGGCGCCGAGAAATTTGGAAAGTCTGATGATGACAATCTGGACGTGTTGCTTACTTTGTACTGCAGGCAACTAGCTGAGAAGGACGTGGGGTCCCTCATAATGTCAAGCCAAGCTACTCAGTTTACACTTCTTTGTAACGAACTAATGGATGTGAACATGTCCGCTCTTGCAGCGCTGGAAGAGCTAGTGTTCCCATAGTGACTCTGACGTATTTTCTAATTTGTCTCGGCTTCATTTAATTAAACAAGGGAAGTACATAGTAATTGGGCTTGAAGGCAGCAGCCATGTTGGATGACCAATTTTATCCCTCCAATATGGCTGCCACCATGTTACCACCCAAGCCTCTTTGAAGAATTATTAATAACGGGGCAAACAAAAGCCGCCATAATTCACTAAATTTGCATCTATTTAACGTTTCGAGTATTTGTGATATTTTCTCGATATTTGACACAATTATAGCGACAACTAGTAATTTATCAGGCGAATATTCACCATGTCGGAAATATTTCAAGTGGGTACGCTGCTGAAATCATTCTTAGTATCACAGAAAATTTGTTTAAAAAACGACGCATGTTATAAGAAAAAATAAAGTTTGCTTGGATTTATGAAGGATCTTTATCTATTCTTAATTGATTCATAGGAGCAGGCGTAGCTTAGGAACATGGTTTGATCCTCATGATCTCCACATCTGTACGTTGCTCCGTCYGTTCGTTCTTTTGTTCCTCCTTAATTTGTCTGTCCGTCCGTTTTTCCATCCGTTCTTCCGTTAATCCGTCCGTTCGTCCCTCGATCTTGCCAAAAAGATCCTATTTTTTAGCGAGATTTCTGAACGTAAAAAATCGAGTCTACAAAGCAGGCTGTCGGCAAACGACTAGTCGGCTAAGATTCCTGGATAATCTTGCCCGTAGAAAGCTATTAAACTTGTATCACAAATTATTCGACTAAAAATGATTGCACGAGCAAACCAAAACGGCGCCAAATTCGAAATCGTAGCTGCCATGTTGGAGGATTGTATGTCCTCCATCATGGCGTCTCAACCTCCCCAAGAATGCTTGGCAATTGCATTCAATTGTATGGCTAAAGGAAAGGACACGTACGCAAGGAGTATTAATTGCTAACAATAACTTCTGATAATTTGATTATATACACGCGTTTAATTTGCGCTGAATATGTAGAGTGCAAACCATATACCCATGAAATAGCACTAATTAGTACCGACAAAATAGCGTCAATGAAAACAAAAGAAACAGATGTGTTTAGTGCTATATAGTTTATAGTATTTCACGATATGGTTTGCGCTGTAATAAATTATTACAAGTATAATTATCAGAGTGACTATTTTTCATAAAAAAAGGAATTCATTAGAATTTCATTTTTTCTCGCACTTTTTGGCCCAAAGAGGCAGTATTTACTTTTTGTCATGTACTGTTATTTTCAACCATTTCAACCAAAAATATAGTAATAATTCCTGCTGTTCGCTTTGCAAGTGTTTTGCGACTTTCAGGGTAATTCTGTGATTCGTTTTGAAAGTCAAAGAGCAGCAAGCAAAGCAATAGCGTCAAAATATCCATTGATGTACGTCGTGGCAATCACCGTGAGTTTGTTGTAATTTCGACAACGGGCTTGGTAAAATACGTGGCTTGAATTAGTTTCCGTCGTCATTACCATCAACAAGCTTCTAGAAGTAGTTTGCAATTAATTGGTCGATGGTTGTTCCTTGTTTGCGACTGTGACGCTCACAAGTAAGAGAGAAAGATCCTTCCAACTATTTCCCATCYATTTTTCGATTTTCTGTCGTCCTTCTTGACTGCCTCGTCGACGAACTCTTTGCCTCTTGACGCTTGAGAAGAGCTGTAATCTGTGGTTGTATATCTCCTAACAGAGGTCTTTGACAGGGATCACCGCTCCAACAGGATTCCATAAGCGTCCAGCACTCATCGTCAAAGTGGGCCAGTCTCTCTGGTCGCACCCCACGTCGTACAGCGTTCCATAAGTGGTCTTTACTTGCGCACTGTTCAAATGCCAGGGGTAGCCTCACGGTGCCAGCACAGATGTACCAGAACAGAACACCAAAAGCATAGACATCTACACTGTTGTCATAGCGACCTGAGAAGAGTTCTGGCGCCATGTGGATTGGTGTTCCCACGATCGAGCCGGACATCATTGCTTCGGGTTTACAAAACCCCAAGTCAGTTATCTTGCCACGGTTTTTGGAGTCAAGCTGAAATGAGTAGCATCGATTTAGTACGTTTTTCATGCTTCTACGACCAAGCAAGCACCACCTCTCGCTCTCTCTCTTTCTCTCTAGCAATGTGCGTACTCCATCGCTTTGCGCGCTCACCCTCCGAAAGTTACCAAATAACTTACCAAGACATTTTTAAGCTTGATGTCCCGATGAACCAAACCTTGACTATGAAGAAATCGAATCCCCTCAACAACATCTGATGCCACTTGTAAGCGTGCCCTCAAACTGAGCCCACTTTTGATCCCCTGGTATAAGTCCCGCTGTAAACGATCCATCACTAGGAGCACCGCAGGGGACGCTCCTCCACCGTAGCTATAGTCGATCACTGAGCCAATGATGGATACTAGACGATCATGACGTGGTAAGGACCTGGAAATATATATATTTATAAAAAACTGTTATGAATGTCACATTCTGATTGGTTTGGAGCGCGTGCTTTATGAGAGCACATTACACACGCGCGCACTTTCCGTTGCGTCATTTCTATCTATTATTGTAATTTGTATTTTATAAAAGAAATAAAAAACTTGCTGTGCTGTATGCTGTCATAAAGCACTTGGGGATTGACAGAACACTCGAGAAGTGTCCAGAAGCACTCTGCTACGCGTCATGCTTCTCCTAACACTTCTCTCTTGTTCTGCCAACCCCCACGTGCTTTATGACAGCACGCAGCACGCGCGCGCGTTTTCTATTTCTTCAATACATACTGTATTACTCATTATTGTTCTTTCTTCATCATGAAGAATTATAATCATCAACCTCCTCATCAACTTCACTAAATCATTACCATCATCATCATCGTCATCTTCATCATCAATCATCATCATCCATGTCAAACATCACTTTTCTCCTCATCAGCTTTACTTCATCAACACGTACCATCACCCATTTCATAATCATTCGTTTTTCATTCTTATCATCATAATCATTAACCTCACTTCAACATTATCTACATCAACATAATCATCTTCATCATTTCATAGAGTGAACATTGTACTATTATGATGGAAACTAAACCTAATCTCAGGGTTAATCTAAATCAGGACACAGTTAATGTGGGATGAGGATAATACAAGTACATGAAAGAACAAGAAATCTTACTTGGTGTAGTAAAACTCTAAAGCCAGATCATTCCAGTGTTTGTCATCAGGTGGGACAACAGACTTGATAGCACACGGGTGTCGCCCTGCCCACCTATCGCAGGAATACACCACACCATACTGACCACGCCCTACTTCCCGACCAAGCTGAGGCATACCATACAGAACAACATCTCTCAATGAAGTACTCTCCAAAGCTAAGCGAGCAATCTTAGGTGCATAAGACTTGCGTACTCGCATTCTCTGCTCTTCTGTTTTTTCCAATCTGCCTGTGTGATTATTTTCTAGTATTTTAATACTCGTTGTGAAAGCTTCATGTGATTTATGAAGCCTCATTTTGAACTGGTAACATATGTGTTTTGCTAGGCGGGTCTCACTAAGGCTCGTCAGCATGTCCTGTGCCACCTTTTGTTTCCAGGGTCCATCCACCTTGGGTGGGGCTTTGCCTGGTAGCGTCTGGATAGCCTGTTTCATTTTTTCCCACAGCAGCCGAGCAAGAGATGAGCTGGCACGTACTGTAACTTCTACCTGGTATGCGGCATCAACTACCTGGAATATACATTCAAACAAATATGGATAGAATTCAATATATACACCTATATGAATACAAATATGGATAGGATTAAATATATAAAAGAAGTGATCTTAACCAGAAACAGAGTTGATCCAGTGTAAAATCATTCAGCAAATGATTACTCTACCTTATCACAATAGAGCTTTTTACTGATACGGTGGCCATCTTGTATTATGGGATACCGTGGGGRCAAACATGTGGAAAATTTATAAAGCATAGGGTGGTGGGGTTATGTTTTCAAATAATTTGAAGTCTTCATGTTTTGCATATTGTTCCAACTATCAGTAAATTCAATTTCTTTTAAGATGTGCTTCTCCTTGAGAAAGAAAATAAAATAAAAAGACATTCTGACAGTTGTGACATCTATAAATTTTCCAATAGTTGCCCCTTGGCATTCCATAATTTGTTAATGGCTCCGTATTGGTAAAAAGGTCTAAATAACAGCAAAATGTAAAGGTACAAAAGCTAATAATATATAATATAATTATAATAGCATATGGCTTATATAGCGCTTATACGAGTCTGCGTAAATGAATAGATAAATAAGATAGATRATATGATTATAAAGAAAAAACTAATTTAAATAAATGAGTCTTGAGTTGAAATTTATATGAAGATAAACTGGAAATATCAATAATTGAAGAAGATAAGGAGTTCCAGAGTAGAGAAGCAGCAACTGAGAAAGAACGTAGACCATATGACTTGAGATTATGAGTTTTGAAGACAGCAACAAGTGAGAAGATGAGTGAAGATTTCTTGCAGATTTTTGTATGCTAGTCAGGATTTAAAGAACTTACATGTTTTAATGCCGTTGTAGCCGACTGATCCTCCTTGTTCCAAGAACCTTCGCTGTCCATTTTCTCCAAGCTGTCGATACACCTTTGCAAAGTCCCAACAAAGCTTTCGCGTAAATACTCAACAGAACTGATCAGATTCCCAGCCACTGCTTTATTAATCCTACCTAAAACAAGTTCCTGAATTTGACTAATACATGTGTCTAGATCCTTAACGTTTTGGAGTTCCTCATCATCTGTCAATAAAATGCCCTTGAATTCAAGGGTTTCTACTTCTTTTAGAATTTGAGGGGATAGAGTGGTGATGGTCTTGTGAATGACCTCCTTGATTTCATCTTGCTTTCTGCATGCCGTATCCATCAGAGCATTGAATAGTTCTTCCTCTTTTTCTCGTGCGTATTGCAGTCTTCGTGGAGTAATAATCATGTCTCTTGCCATATCGAATGCAGTCGTTATGAACAGCGACAAAACTCTATGATGAGCCTCATTCAATGCTGAAGAAGCCRTGACTAAATGGTATTGCAAAACCTGCCGAACGAAGAGTAGAAAACAAGGAAACAATGAAAAGTTCTCTATCAGTGTGGATTTTGGTYGGACAGAGTCAAGGATTGCTCTGGTACTCATTTCTTCAACATAGTTAGGTCCCTCTTTCTTTGTCTCTGAAGAGTCTGGAATCAAATAACCTATATCACAGAGCTGTTCATATATCTTAGTCCTTGCTTCAGTGAATTCATACACAACTTGATGCTGTTCTGACTCTGTCATTGATTCTGTTAGTTGAGGTGATTTACGGCTGCATTTGACAAAGAATATCGGCATGTCTGGGGCTAAGGCTTTGACCTGGAGTAGCTCTGCTTTATCCTGTTCAACCAAACAAGAAATAATCATTCAAATATTAATAATACAGAAAAATAATTCCAAGGAGTATCTAGCAAAGGGAAAGGTGCAGGGTGTGTGTGCAGCCCCCCCTCCCCCCCCCCAGATCCCCCTTGATTTGTACTGCATATATTATTGGTGCATGAGTTTATGAATCTCTTGATCATAATAGTTCATCCTCCCTATATAATTTGGGCCCCTCTGAATTTAAATAACTTTTGTTTAAGATTTTTCTTGTATTAAATGAAAAAGATATGAGAAGCCTATTCACTGTCATGGCACACATATGCAAGTGTTGAAGCTTTGAACAAACTGCAGAAGACATAGAGGATATTACATGGGCGCACGGAGATACGAAATTTATCTTCGAGTGTTGAAAAGATCTCTCACAAGTGAGCGCAGCGAACGAGTGAGAAATTTTCAACACGAGAAGATAATTTTCGTATCTCCAAGCGCCCATGTAATATTCTGTTTATTATATAATTATCAATGAAGTATGTTTCGGCTTTTTCAGGCAATTCTTTCCGTGTATTTTTGAATAGCCATCGCAATGGTGTTATTTTCACACGTGAAAATAACATGTTATTTTCACGTGTGAAGATATCAATTTTTCGAAATAGAGAAAAATAGATATTTCATTGGTAATTATATAATAAAAAGGATTATGTAACCGGGACTGCCCCTGTCTTGTAGCAGTCATATGGCCATGAATTAATTTCGAGTATGTGCTAAGRCTAATTATTCTTATCATTTCCATACACTTGGAATAATATCCACAACACTGACATGGCTTTCCATGCTTTACCAGATGAATGATTTGAATAAATTTCTTTTTACATTGAAATGGTTTTCCCAATGTTACACCTAAAGAGATTTAGTAAATTTCATTATCACATAAGAAAAGTTTTGTTCCTTAAGGTTAATGGTAAGCCATCTTTGTGTTAGTATCCAAAGATGAGAAGCCACTTCAATGCTGAGGGTACAAAATACAAGCATATAACAGTGATTCTCAAAGGGTTACATAATAGGGCRGGAATGCCCCAGTCTAACAAAGGTTAAATAATTCTTATCAAGACTGTGCACTGGCTCACATTCCTTGTCATTTCCATACATTTGGAATCATTATTAGCCACAGCACTGAAATGGCTTCCAATAACTTTCCAAGCCCTAAAATTTGAATAAATTTATCTTTATGCAAAAATGGTCTCCTCATAAGATTTTCAATATTCTGCATAATTTTAGAGAAATTCATTATTATTTTAGTTCTGGTCTTGTGATGTTGATGAAAAGTCATTTTATTTATTAAGACTTAAATTATTAACCTTTGTTAAACGCTAACTTACTTTAAATATGATAATTGAGTCATTCAAGCATTTTTAAACAATGGAGTCACTTTCTAAATTTATTCAAGAAACAAAAACAATAATATTCCAAGCATAAGCATGCAGTTTCTAGCCAGCACATGTAGTAGCTCCCGATAATAATGGACATTCGCCAAGTCAATAAACCCTAAACACGATAAAAATCTAAAACAACTAAATACCATGTCCCAACGAGTTGTAAAAACGATAGTTTTGTCTTTCTTGAAGAAATACTTTACCGATTTTTAAGTTTTATGTACAAATATTAGAATAAGTCTATAGTACACAAAATATCGATGAACGATTACGCTGTTACGATCTGTGTTCATGATCCGTCTATGTTTCGAAATGATATTACAATTCATTCAAAAAAAAAACCCTACCAGCTATAAAGTTGATATTTTATTCCTAAATAGGCTTTCATCCGTAATTGCAGTGCATTTTAGATTATTTTATCAATTTTTTACAAAGCAAGTAAAATTGAGTTACAGATGTCTAATTTTTTGAGCTGTTATGTTTGAGATTATTGGTTTATTTGCAAAAAGAGTGAGAATCCAGAATCTCAACTCTATAAATACAATAACACAAAGCTATGAGAGTACGAAATAAAGTAACTTTCGAAAGGTCAAACAACAATACAAACAAACAAAAAACGAAAGTTAGAAARCACTGATTGATCTAGGCAGAAGAAGACAAAAATGATCAGTCTCTATCAATGAAACACGGCAAAAACCCGAACGCTTTTAAAATTCATTCTTACCTTTTCACTTAGACTTTCCAGTTCCAAAGCGTAGAGTAATATCGGTAGAACGTCCTCACAACAGGCGCGAAAAATATTTTCTACATCACCTTCGTGGTTGGTTGGAGAACACACGATTTGTGCGCCAGCCTTTAGTAAAGCATGGTTCAAAGATACCTCAGCCACTGCAGATGCTAGCGCGGGATCTGATTTTTCGCTTCCAGTAACTTCTAAATCCCCTCTCGGGACACACTGCCAGCAATCCTCATGAGCATTTAAAGCAGCAGCGAGTTCAAAACTGTCCGGTAGAACAAGACTCACATTCGAAATATTGCCATACTTAATTCTGATCATTCGCCATGTCGTACTCTTGTCCAAATCTTCTACCGTCGGTAGGACGGGTTCTCCGAGAAGCTCGTTTATAACACATACCTTAGCAAAACAAGTTTGTCCTACGACTATAATYGTCGGAGGTTTCTCACACACGCTGTCTAAAAACTGGCACTGTTCATCTGGAAGATAAGCAGATAGGATATCTGGATTACACTGGCCTGAGGATTGGAGATCCTTGAACGAACTGATAGTGTCCCTCTTAATTTGTTTTAAAAGGCGAATATGTTCCTGGAACTTACTGATCTCGTATGGTAAGTTTGCTGACATGGTGGTGCCCAAGTCAGCCGATTTGAAGCTAGCATTTGACGAATCTTTCTGATCTTTGGAAGTGTTCAAAAGATTAGAAAGAATAGTTAGTCGAAATTTGTTGAGCAATTTGACCGAAGATGTGAGTGAAACAGGATGGAAAACTGGTTCCAATATGACCATATATAACATTATTAGGCACCAGTCTCCCGAGAAAGAGTCACATTTCGTCACGTAGTCTGAACTGTTGTCACGTACTTTAAAMWYTTWWAAAAAATTMTTTAARAATTAAATTTCTTTTATTCTATTCTATCTCATTTCATTTTATTTAACTTCAGTTCAAATATTTCATTTCATTTCATTTCTCTATTTTATTTAACTCAATCACTTGACTTTCCTTYACTTCACTTCACTTCATTTGATTTTGATTTCCCTTTGTTCAGTCTCATTTCATTACTAATCTGATTTTCTGGCCTTCTCGGCTTTAACCTTTATCGCATTAGAATTAGTATAGGAAATCGCACGATCTCGAGTGCAATTCGTTATTTATAGGTACGAGTTCAATTTGAGAACTTTCAAGACATCACGAGTATCTATGAACTCCGAATMGTACGAGAAGATTGCGCAATATTTTGTTAATAATACACTCAACAAGATTGAGCAACTTAATTGGGACTCTACAAAGTACAATTTGGGATTTAATTGTACTCCTCTTGTCCACTCAGAATCGAGTAATATTGTAGATTGTATTATTATAAGAAGAAAACACCCATAATACATTGTTTTAAACAGAAATATCGTTCAAAACACGGAATGCGCATTGAATACGACTTTTTTAATGGGCTGCCTTAAAAACCCATAACTGATGCAACTATATGCATAATTGCCCACCATTTGCTTGAAAATCAAATTATTATTATGAATTAAAAATGGTTGTTGATGATGAGATGATGATGATGATGATGACAAATGCAAAGCCGTTTTGAGCATGCGCTTTAACGTACACGTGCTTCCGATGATGTCACGGGCTCGCAGGACTTACGACAGTAAAAAAACCTCAATGATCTTATTTTGGGCCATTTATTACCCCTAGAAGCGAAAATATGATTCATTAATGGTAAAAGTACACTTTTAAAACAGTATAGGTTTGATAACGTATTTAATTGTAGCAAAATCGTGCTCCAAAACGGCGTCAAAACGACGGCCCCGCAGGATTCAGAGCCTTCGGACACCATTAATAACAGATCGATCCGATCACCAAGAAAACGATTAAGCTGTGGAAATATGGCCATAAAATGTCAACACCAGCAGCATGACCAACAAGAAGACCAGTTCCAGGCTAAAAAGTCTCTCATTGATGAAGAAAAACCCCAAGATCAGCTAAGTAAGTACGGGAGTACAGTGACAGTGGAGTGCTTGTCATTTGGTTTTTGTGTGTTATTAAATCTTACATCAAATATATATTAWATCTTATTCATTAATGTAGAACAATTGTTAGTATTTAGAGATGTCTTTACGTACAGCAACTTTATACCTAAGGTAATTTGAATGGTTGAGTCCAAGGACAAAGGAAAGTTGGGCATAAAATATGGCGAGGATTTTGTCATTCAATGAAAAACGTTGAAAAAGCACGAAAATTTAAACCCTTTGCCTCGTCTGATTTGGTTAAATTCTCAAGTATTCGACCATTAGGAATAAGATATTTGTTTCTTTAATTTCTTTATTCATGATTTATACATATAAGCTATATAATTATATATACATCTTAATTTATTCATATATTGTTTTTTTTTATTACCTTATTGCATTTGAACTTTCTAGCATATAACTCTTTAGCTTGGGCGTAATATTTTCCCATTTCAGATCATGTGTCATTCCCTAGAGTATCATTTCTTTGCTTAATGGTTTTGCAAGACAAAAAAACAGAGGAATATGGATACAACTCAATCAAAAGAAACTTATTTTCATGAAAATGACACATGATATATGGTATTATATTGGAAAACATTATGCCCAATAACAAATGCAATAAGGGAATTAATGGCACTCCTTTGAACCAATCAGATTGCAGGACTTGGTAGTGATTACAATGATTTCTGAATGCTATAATTTCAAAATTGGGTCTCAAAGATCAAGTCAATCACTGATCATCCTGTATGTTACCTGTCCTCATACTATGAGCACCACATTTCAATAAATTTGTTTGTTTTATTGTCCTGTCTCTTATAATACAAGGAGTTTTCCCTGTGTTA